ATTGGAAACCTGGGCAGGACCTTTTGCCTTGTTTTCCCTTTGTCTTGGCTGAACACAATTTAGGTTGCAACCTGAATCTGTGTCTCCTAGGCTGCAACTCCTTTTGCTCAAATAAATGCTTTTCATTCTTTATTACAATCTGAAATTAATTTGGGGTTACAGCATGAAGGTCTTGGTCTTTTTATTTTCATCTCCGATTTAGGTCACACTGACTTGGGGGACCATTTATGACCTCTCAAACTAAGTCATCCTCTAGGCATACGTCATCACAGTGCTCTCTATAGTAAGGCCTATGAGTAGTTGGAAATGGAAATCAGGAACTTGTGACAGAATGAAAAACAGTGCACTACTTTCTTTATAGAGATTGTTTTGCTGTGTAACAAAACTGTCAACAGTAATATCTAATGTGCAAGAGTCATACTGGTTTTATTCAGAAACTACAGAAGCCAGTATGGTGGAAATTCCAGGAAGAAATAGCTTTATCTTGATCAGAAAACAGGCCTAATTAATATAGCTTATTTATTATTATTTTTCATTACAGTTGACATTCAATATTATTTTATGTTAGTTTCAGGTGTACAGTATAGTGGTCAGACAATCATCTACTTTACAAAGTGTTCCCCTCGATATTTCCAGTACCCACCAGGCACCATAAATAGGTATCACAATATTATTTACTGTATTTCCTATGCTGAACTTGACATCCCCATGACTATTTTGTAACTACCAATTTGTACTTCTTAATCCCTTCACCTTTTTCATGGGCATGGTATTCTGACTTTTTGCCTTTTCTTACCATCCTGCTACATCTTATCAATAGAAAAATGGAGGAAGGGCGTATGTATGTGTCAATGGAGGTCAAAGGAGTTCTGTTAGTGCGTGGTTGTGATGCCACAATGTCGGGGCTACTTTTCCTTTATCTTATGAGAGGAAGAAATGACCTTGGCTAGGCAGGTCCTCGCGTCCATTTTATCCATTCCAACAGCCTACAATATAGATACATTCTGCAACTGACTGAAGGAAACTGTAAGTGCCCGTTTTAACATTCCATTATGGAAATTAAAGACTATAAATTGTATTTTCACTTCAAGAGTTCTACTGGCTACTTTTTGTTTTTCCTGTAAAAAGAATCCATGCCTGGTTGAGATCCCAGAGTTATGCACCGCAGAGCATGGAAGAGCCACTTTGGCCTGGAAATGTTAAGGGCAGGTGTGGCCAGTTATCCATAGACATTGAAGAACCTCAGTAAGTCCCTTGCCAAATGTATAATTTTGAAAAGCACAGCCTTCGTGGATTAGTTAGTTGCAAAATGCTGCTCCAAGTGGTTGAAGGTATTAACATATTGGGTGGAATTATTTCGCATCATTCGTTATGTTGCTGAACAATGCCTGCCAAAAGCAACAGTATGGATATTCAGTTGTTGTTTTTGCACTTTTTCCTCCTGAGAATAATTAAACAACAGGTTTGGTTATCTTCTTATTTTTATTCAGTGACTTACTGATTGATTGATTGCATTTATTGGAGTGACATTGGTTTGCAGAACAATACAGGTTTCAAGTGTGCAGCTCGATAAAGCATCCTCTGCACACTGCATCGTGTGCCCACTGCCCCAAGCAGTCTCTTTCCATCCTGATTCCCCCTGGCCTTTGCCCACCTCCACCTGTGCTCCAACCCCTTTCCCTCCGGTTATCACCACACTATGTCTGTGTCTGTGTGTTATGTATATATGTTTTTTGCTGCCTTTTAAAAATGACATGTTATTATTTGTTTCAAATATGTAATATACATATGCTAAAAAAGTACAAAAGGCACTCAAAGACAGAACATGTAAAATAGGTTTTCAGTTCCAATATCTATCACAACCATCCAGTTCCTTCCTCAGAGTCAGTCATTCACTATTATTATTTTGAAGTGTGCTTCCAGAGATAATTGTTTTTCAATAGAAATTATAATACATCCATAATATTATGCACATTGATTTCTTCCAATTCAAAAACCTTGGAGATTTTCCATATCAGCACATAAAGATTTATCTCATCTAACTGCAGCATGGTATTCCACTTAGCAAGTTGATTTTATTAGATCTCCTTTCCAAATCTTTTCTGTTCATCTTTCTCTTTTATTTCTTTTTACTTTCTTTACTTTTATTTCATTTAATTTTCAACCCTATTATGCTGTCACTGTGTTTTCAGCCAGGATAATTTTCTTTAGTATTTCTCCTACTGTGGGCTTCATATCTGAGATTATTTCTTTCTTGCCTATGATTTACTCACTCATGTGTTGTCTTTCTCTGTTACCTACCACATCTTTCTTAAACTCATGTATCTCTGCTATGAAGTATTGGGCATACTATCTCTTGTTTTATTATTAAAGTTTTTAAAATTATTTGGCAATTTATTTGGTTATAATTTTTATGTGCTCCATGAAATGTTTGTTTTCTTAATGATTGTTTTTGTCCACCCTTTATTTTAGTGTTTTCTTCCTTTTTTTCCTAGCATTTTTCTGTAAATCCTGTGCTGGTTTCTGAATTTCAATGAGTTGAATTCTGAGACCAATAATTTGCAGAAATTTTGTGTGAGGCAGGAATTTTTCTTAAGACATTATTGAATTAGGACATGATTCTTTTAGTTTATTATTGAAGTAAATTATATTCAAAATATTTTTATATTTAATTAGCATTTAAAATATTTTAGCTTAGTGATCTCCACATGTTCATCTTGACCTTCATCAAGAGGGTTATCTTAAAACAATGAAAAGAGGCATTGGGTGAATTTCATATGTGTGAGCAACAAGAATCTATTTATCTCAGCAGCACTATGCCTCTTGACTCTTACTTAAACATACCTCAATGAAACATAACAGGAGTCTTTAAATTCTACTGAACATATAATTATATAAAGTATGTCTGAGAGTTATTGAGCCTGTGATAAAGAAATAAAATCACTGGTAGAGTGCTACTCAAAATAAAAATGTAGTTCTGTGATTCAGCAAAATAATTTTATAGCTCTTTGATTGTTACCTGATGGTGTTGACATACATTTTGATTGTCTTTTTCTATAGAACAATTGATACCAATAGTGTGCTCACCAGATGGTATCACAGTACTGGAGTTACTCTTTCTAGGTGATATACCTCTATGAGATTCTAATGAACAATTTGTGTCACACTGATTTCCCTACAGTTTTTGAGAATGCAGTTTATGTTTTCCTTCTTTTCTCAGCATAGGAATTTGAGCACTGGCATCACACGTAACACCAACCTATACCTCTGTACATTTTCAGGATTTTAAAAAACTTTGTCCCTATAGGTCAGCAGCATTTGGGTCTACCATTTAAAATATTCACATTTCTAGTACTGAGAACTGAGTTAGGCAAAGAGCAAAACAGACCTCTGAAGGTAAATCCTGGTACATCCTAGGGACATGTGAGGCTGAAATAAAGTGAAATAAAACAAACAAGTAAAATGAAAAATAAATTGAAATAGGACACTGCTAAGGCAATTTTATGTCTATCACACCTATCTTGAGAAGAAACTTTCTGGAACCCAGATATATTTTTGTGGCAGGATCTTCCATTAGAATTTTTTCTTAGACCCTACCATATGGTGATTTGTCCATTGATATGTGAAAACAATATTTAATATAATCTGTCTCCTCTTTTTTTTAACTGTTTCTTAAGGATTAGACCAGGAGTTTCTACCTATTTCTGCCTAAATTTATCTCAACATTTATATCACATACCACTGTGTTGGCATAGGGCTATGGAAAAATAATTAATCCAAAAGGAATGACTATACCCAAAGAATACCTGCTTTTGAAATTGTTAGTGCATAAATAATTAGAAATTTTTAGAATATTTATGAATAATAAAAATTTATTTTAAAAGATTAAAGGGATTTTTCTATTTATGGAACTATAACAACAAATCATAAAGAGAGAATAAGTAGAAATAATTAAAACTACATGAGATGCAAAACAAAAATTACAAAATTTAATACAAATGATGGTAGTAATAAAGTAATGGATTAGAGCTAAAAGGCAAATCTGGGAGAAGGGCAAACACTGGAGGGGAAACTTCCCAAGTCAGAGTATTTCTGAGGGAAGCAATAAAGAAAATAAATTTTAATTATGTTTTATTAATTTTTAGAGAGAGAGGAAGAGAGAAGGAGAAAGAAACATGGATCGGCTGCCTCCTGTAGCCCCTTACAGGGGATCAAGCCCACAACCAGGGCATGTGCCCTGACGGGGAATCCAACTGATGACCTTTTGGTGCATGGGAGGAAGGTGAGCCAACTGAGCTACACAGGCCAGGACAGGAAAGTCTAAAGTGGGACATACTCAAGTAAAGGGACCCAAGTATAATAGGACCACAGGAATTGAGAATAGACAGAGCAAAAATAATAGACGTATACCTGAAAATTGTCACAAAATAAAGATATACTTCAATGAGCAGATTGAGAATACCTTTGAAAACCTAGGGAAAATTATGTTAGATTAATCATAATTAGATATATCTTGGTGACATTTTATATATTTGTATTAGTTTCCTATGGCTGCTGTAACATATTAACACAAACTTGATGGCTTAAACACTTCAAATTTATTCCATTCCAGCTCCAGAGGTTAGAAGTTTGAAGTCAGTTTCACCGTGTCGAAACCAAGGTGTCAGTAGGGCCACCTTCCCTCCATAGGCTCCAGGGAAGAATTCATTTGTCTCATCTCCATTCTGGTGGCTGCTGGCATTCCTTAGCTCCTGGCCGAATCTCTCCAGTCTCTGCCTCTGTGATCACGTTGCCTTCCTTCTCCTCTCTGCCTTTCAAATCTCCCTCTGCTTCTGTCTTATAAGAATACATGTGATTGTATTTAGTGCCTTCCTGGGTAATGCAATATTATCTCCCTCTCTCAAGATTTTCAGCTTAATCACTTCTGCAAAATTATTTTATGCAAATTAAGGTAACATTTACAAGTTCCAGGGATTGGAAAGTTGATGTCTTTTTTTTTGGGGGGGGGGGTCATTATTCAGCCTGTAAATTATATGTATATATAAATCTTACAAGTATCCAAACAGAGATATAGATTATATTCACGGAAACAAAACTCTAATTGTTTTTACACTTTTATTCTGTAGATAATTCTATGGAGTTGAATAAAATATATTTAAATGGTAATATTATAAATTTAACCAAATATTCATTTATTTGCAAAGGCAACCAAAAGATTTTCTTAGCTATAAAAAATCTGGTTTACTTTTCCTAAAGAAAAATTTTGTTGAATTACAGATGGAAGGGAGATGAGTCAAGGTGAGAAATTTAGGAAGAAGGAAGTTCTGTGTTGTTTTTTTTAAGGTCTGGCAATAAGCACTATAGCTTAACAGAAACTTAAACATCAAATTACGTCTCAGTGCTGGAGTGCTGGCTCTGCTCAGTCCAGATTTACACCCAATTTCTAGGTAATCTCCTTCAGCCCAATGGCTTTATATAACATCTTGATGTTAGAGACAAATTTATATCTCTAATCTAGACATCTTCCTTCAACTCAACTCTCATTTAAGAAAGTTTTTTCTCTCTCTCTTTCTTAGATACCTAATAGGCATCTGAAAGCTAATACACCCTCACCCAAACTTTTGTTTCTTCATTTAGATCTGCTGGACCTACAGCTTTTCCTTGTCTCAGAATTTGAAAAACCTATTCAATCAGTTATTTAGACAGAAAAATCTTTGTTTATGTCTCTAAATTTACATTTTTGAATGAACACATTAAGTGAATAAATAGTGAATGAAAACTTATCTCAGTATATCTTGAAATATATTTTAAAATATATATGTTATGCAAGCATATACATTTTTTGTAGTAGACAAAAATTCTTTTATAAACTTGAAGACTTATCTTTGGTCAGTAATGGTTACAATTTTTTTCTTTTTTACATTTTCTAATATATATATTTTTAATGAACACATTTAAAAAATTTGGACCTATACTATAAACATTTCTTTATAGATAAATAAAACATAAAAAGATATGATAATTAATTGGGATACAGATATGCAACCAACACATTGTTTTTGAAGACAGAGGGCCACAGGTATCTGTCCTCTTATATGGTACAAGTTCTTCTCTAAAGCTGCCTTTAAAATCTTTTGAGTAGAAATGCATTATATGGGAAAATGTCCCAAAATATTATACCATTGAACTTCTTCAGATGAGATCCAGTCAAATTTACTGAAATGGACAACTTATGCATTGGATTGATACTATAATGTGATACTTTACATTAGGGCATTAACATACAATAATCTAAATTTTTTTTCTTTCAAGGAATAGTGACAGTTAATAAAAAGGCTGAAAAGATGATTAAAAGACATTATAGAAATGTTAGAAATGTTTTCCAAGTACTGAAAAATGTATATGAAATGGGATTTCATATAGCAGTGGTCGACAGTGATGAAGAAGCTTAGGTGTTCTGGAATTTGACACAGTCTGTGGTAGCCTTAAAGCTACTCTAAGAGAAATATGTAGCTGCCTCTCTAATGGCTTTAATGCCAGGTGAATTGAAGGAGAGGACACGGTACTTACTCTGTTTTTGAAATCTTCAAAAATCTAAAAGGAAAGAAGGAATAGTGTTCTGTTAGAATTCTCACTTAATATTTTGCACATGACTTCAAAGAGACAACTCCAAGGGAGATTATTAAAATTTTATCTGTCATGATCATGTGAAAATGTTAATTCACTTACCAAAGAGAATATTATAGACACATTTGGTTTAAAGTTGAAATGCCACAGCAGATGTTAGCATGTGAGTTTTTCACTCACTTATTACCTTGCACAAAGATAGTAACTTCAAAATTAGCATATTACAACCTTGTAAAACAAAGATAACACATTTCAACTAAAGAAAACCAGGAAAATATCTTTAAGAACAGTGGGAAAGGAAGAGTCCTCTTGGATGAAAAATGTTATTTTGTGCCTGGGGCTCTAGACTAAAGGCTCGTTTCCACTGATGTGGTGAAAACCATAGCTAAACAAAGTTTTGTTCCTCCAAAAAGCTCATATGTTTTTGAGAATCATATTTTCTAGAGTCTGTTCCCAAAGGCCTAACAGTATAATGAAAATCTGCATTATAGATGTAAATGTAATTCTTTATATCACTAGTGACTTCTAGACCACAGCATATGGATCTGTAGCTCTTCCTTTGCTTTAATGAAAAAAGAAAAGAAAGAAGAGAGAAGAGAAAAAGGAAAGGAAAGTTATGTGCGAAATGAATTTTGTTCATAATCATCTATCAGGAAAACAATATCGCCATGAAAACGTAAATTCAATGTAGAAAGGAAGAGGAAAAATGTTGTGAAATATGCAAATTATTATCTGCCTAAGACCTAAAAGATACTAGGGGAAAACTACCAAAAAAAAAAAAAAGATATTCAACACCTCATAAATTCAAGTTCTGCCATCCTCATCATTAAGTTGTTAAGAGAATCACTGTTTCTGAAGGATATCTGCTATAAGAAAAATATTTGTATTTTCCTGATATGGCAATAGAAAATTGATAGAACTGTGTTTGAGGTCTAGGCACTCTAAGAAGTCTTGTATGTTGGTTTAGGCTGTTAAAGTAAAATTTCACTGAACAAAGTCAACATGCAGGGAAGATTTTATTCAAGACTACTGCAATGGAGAGAAATTGAACTCCTCTGAAACGAAAGCTGTGAGGGTTTTTAAGTGCTGAGGTGAGCTAGTAGAAAAGTACTGAAGGACACTGAGGAAGGGTTGATCAATGAATTGTGTTGAACACATTGAATTATTATTGAAATGGCAAATATTTTTCTCTATGTTTGGTAATTGGCTCCCATCAAAGTCAGGATCCTACCTTTCCACAGAGACTGGCAGATGAAGGTACTACCTTTTTTTTGTTAATCCTCACTGGAGGATATTTTTTTCCATGTTTTTGAGAATCATATTTTTAGAGAAAGTGGAAGGGAGGGGGGAGGGAGAAAGGGAGAAGAGAAAGAAAGAGAAATATCGCGATGTGAGAAAGACACCTCAATTGGTTGCCTCCTGCATGGGCCCCAACTGGGCGAAGATCCTGCAACCCAGGTGCATGCTCTTGACTGGAAATTGAACCTCGACTACTTGGTCCAAGGGCAGATTCTCTAACCACTGAGCCAAACTGGTGAGGGGGAAGACTCTATCTTTTTTAATATTTAGCTTCAAAGAAATCATTCCCAGATACTTGAGAAACACATTTCCTGTGTAGTAAATCTGACAAGAGGCTGGGGAATTTGCATACATTTCAATGGGCAGAAAAAGAATTAACATTAGTAAGATTTCTAAAGTAAGTGCTCTAAGAAATGGGAGGTCAGAGGACTACAGTCAGGAAGAAATCTGTCCAAAGTTAGTCAGGTTCAGGGGAACATTAAGGCTATCTTAGTCAAGGCAATGACTTTGAATTTATATTCCAGGCTGAATTAACTCTACCAGTAATATTTCTCTGGTGTATTTTTTGTTTGTTTGTTGTGTTTTTTTCCTCCCTTTTGGGTAAATTGGGAGTAATTATCCTAGATAGATAATACATACATACATAGATGATGATAGATAGATGATAGATAGATAAATGATAGATAGATGATAGAGAGTTAGATAATATTCTTGGCATATTCATTTCAAGGATTTTAGAGTTCTTAACATTGTTACATACATTTTTATAGTTTATTCTCCAGAAACTGCAAACCAGTAATGCCTTCCGCATAATTTGATTGACAATATTCCTCAGTTACTAACAATATAATGTTTATTATTTCTCTCTTCAGTTAATTTGTGAAAAAACTGTTTTCCAATTATAGTAGCACTTGCCAATGACATATCAAAATGTGTATTTCATCATAACTGGCTCTAATATGATTAATAACATGTCTTAATATTATTTTTATAATTATGTATTTATATACAATAAACATATGTATTTATATTTATAAAATATGTTTTATATCTTACCTTAGTTTTTAATACTTGATTAGATGGCCATTGTATGACTATAATGCATTCTCCTTTTTTGTAATATGTCAAAATCCCTTTTTAAACCTCTTGTGAATAATTCAGTGAAATTTTTTAAAGTGATCTCAGGCTGGCCATTAATAGACTCCGATATGTATAAATGCATGCATGTATGCATCTATCTGTGTGCGAGTGTGTGTATGTGTTTAAATGTGGTGGTCTTTGCTTTACTCTTTGAGAGTCTGAAGGTTCCACCAAGATTGTGTTGGTAAAGAGCATTATTGGTTTACCATTACATTAAGTACATTAGGTGAAAAAACTTTTATTTCCTGTTTTTCTTACTATTCTAATTTGAAAATAAACTATAAAGAGAACACTTGCAAGAGGAATTTTACTAACTGTTGAATTTGTCGTCTTTCTTCAGCAATGTTGGAAGCTTCCAATTATTAGAATATTCTGCTAAAATGTCACAGTGAAAATCATGTTAAGCTTTCTGTGGAATTTAATTACTGGCCCAGAAATGAATTACTTTACATTTATTTTTTTTTTATTGTTTATTTTTTAAAAATATATCTCTATTGATTTCAGAGAGAGGAAAGGAGATGGAGAGAGAGATGCAGAAACATCAATGATGAGAGTCATTGATTGGCTGCAGCCCGCAACCCGGGCATGTGCCCTGACCGGGAATCGAACCCCGATCGCCTGGATCCTAGGTCGACCCTCAACCGCTGAGCCACGCCCGGCCGGGCGAATTACTCTACCTTTAAAAATTATACCTTCCATCCTGGCATTGCCTATGTCAGAGTATGACCCATGAAAAGGAGGTTCAAGTGATTTCAAAAAACGCAGTGAACCCTGGAAGAATGGTGCCTGAAACCAAGGTGGTGGTGCAGAATGGAGAGCCTGGGAACTCACCTATCGTTTGTATGTGTATTTTTCCTCTCCTCAAGATGAAGGAAGAACCATACATACAAAATGTCCATTTATAGCAATACTGAAGTGATATCAAAACTGACTTGGCCCGTGTAAAAACTCTAACCAGAGGAAGCTGGTAAAGGACCATGAACTCAGTGAGGATGGCAGACCCATGCCAGCTCTAGAGACACACTTAGGAGAAATGAGCAATGGGATGTGCTTTAACCAACAGTGCGCAGGCCTGTACATTCATTTTGTCCTATCTTGAGTGCTAGTTTTCAATTCTTTTTTTATTTGTTTACTGATTTTTAGAGAGGAAAGGAGAGGGAGAGAGAGAAACATTGATGTGAGAGTGAAACATCCATGGGCTGCCTCCTGCACTCCCCCTACCCGGGATGGCGCCTGAAACCAGGGTGTGTGCCCTGACCAGGAATGGAACCAGCAACCTTTGGGTGCACTGGACTATGCCCAACTAACTGAGCCACATGGCCAGGGCTAGTTTTTCATTCTTATTTAGCATAATCAACATGTTCTCCCATTTTCTGAAACTTAACATCCTCCAGCTTCTCACCTTTAGTGAACTACAGTGAATTTATTCACTAGATATGTTCCATTGCTATGCAAGTAGGAACATGTAGCTTTGTAAGTTTTTAAGTTACAAAAATAGTATAATCTTGCTGTTGGAAGTAGAAATATTTGTTTCTTGCAATTGAACGTTTTTACTATGAAAATTGAACTATTTTTCCTAATATTTCTGGGTCTAGCCAGATTTTTCTATCCCAGATGATACATAACTTCTGATTAGACTTTTTCTCATCCACATTTTTTTTTTTTTTTTTTTTTTGTTAA